CTTCCTTCTCTCTGTGTCAGGCACTGAATATCTAAACTTATATTTATTGCAATAAAACAGGGGAATCTGGGAAAATATGGGTCTTGTAAAAGTAGGCTGAAGGTCAGATGTGGAAAAAAGTGGATCAGAGTAACGCTAGAAACATTGGTTTTGTGTGTAATTGTAGAAACTCTCCAGATGTTAATTTGTTTTTTATTCATTTTTTGTTTGTTTTTGTGTCACTCACAGTGAAGTCATACTGGCACAATTTATCTCATATCAACATCTGCACGAAACCCTGCTACTTCCTTTTGTACTGTCTGACCTCAGTGATGTTTCTGTGGTCTGTGTTGACAGCAGCAGGGTCCAAAATTATCTCTCTTTACTGCCTGCCGCTGTGGCAAGCAAGTTATGTTGCCTTCCACACAGAAATTGTATCACTTTAGAAATGTATGCACCTAGATAGCCTAAATGACGGAACAACATTCAGCTCATTTAGGCAAATTGTAATTTAATGTTTCCCCTGTCAAAGTGGTGGATGGTCTGATGATTTTACAGCCTCTACCAACAATTTACCCTCATTCAGCGGGTGCTAAAGTCAGAGATCTTGATAGCAGTTTTCTGCGTCTTATGTTTAGCTGCTAGAAACTCTCCCACACCTCAGTGCGCTGCATTTATTTTTAGCTTTCACACTTAACTCTGCAGCAACCTGACCGCAGAGTGAAGAGAGAGAACTGACCAAGAAAAGTACAGACTCTCTAATAATTTATATTTCTCCTCTTATCCCGGTCAGTAAACTGTATTAAAGGTCACAGGTCTGATACTTTCCTGTTCACTTCACTGCACCTTCAGACTGGATGATGTCCTGCCTCAGTGCACATAGAGATGAACTGTAGAAATCTTCCTTTGCACTGACTGTGTATAACTGAGAAAGTGTTTCTGTAACATCAAAAAAAGTCATAAAGCATTGAATAATTATATCTGGAGTTAGAAAGTGCCTTGGGGGAAGAACAATACGGAACAAATGTGAGTACTTTATGTCCCACTATTCTTCTGTTTTATCCCAGTAAAGTGTGTAAAATGTTCTTTTATTCATTTTCTGTTTGGATAACTTGTGTGTTGACACATAAGCTGCACTTTTCAGGCATTTGTTTGAGGACTCTTTTTTGAATGAATAGGCCAAAGCAGAATTAACCAGAAATATTCCAAAATATGATTTTAAAAAACCTTATAATTATAGTAATATAATAAGGTATCTTATAAAATTCTCTATTCCAGTTAATGTTCAGGAACTTTTTATGACAATGACTGCAGATAATTAGTCAGACAACTGAGGACCTTGAAACTTGTCCAGGTTACATTTTCGCGAAATCATATTGGTAGTATGATCCACTTTGTCTTATTAACTGATTGTTAAATGATCGATCATGATGTCCGAGAACCACACCCGGGTTGGCCAGAACGGGGCTACGAGCAGTAGGCCGACATTGTCCTGGCGGACCCGCTCCAGAACCCCCGGGAGCAGAGCGAGTGGGGGAATGCGTACAGACGTAGCCTCGGCCACGAATGTACCATGGCGTCCAGACCCAACGGGGCTGGAGGAACGAGAGAAACCATAGCGGGCAATGCGTAGTCTCTTGAGACGCAAACAGATCCACGTCTATGGGGCCGAACTCTTCGCACAAGAGCTCCACCACTTCGGGGTGAAGTCTCCAACACCGCCAACATCTCGAGACGGTTGATATGCCACTCGGATTGATGCACCTGCCAGGATCCCCTTGCAAAGCGGCCTCCCATGACCGCGCCCCAGCCCGTGAGGGAGGCGTCTGTCGAAATGACCAGCTGGCGACAAGACCCTCCCAGCATGGGCCCCTGGGACAGGAACCAAGTTTCCTTCCAAACTGATAGGGAACGAAGACCCTTGCGCGTAACCCAAATCAGACGGAGAGGATTTCCCCTCGGGAAAAACCCTTGGTCCTTAGCCACCACTGCAGGGGTCTCATGTGCAGCAGTCCAGATGGTATTACGCTGGACGCAGCCGCCAGGAGACCCAACACTCGTTGAAAGTGTTTTATAGTGATGGCGTAGCCTAACTTCACCCCTTTCACGGGAGCCAATATGGTGTCGACACGTGCCGGAGACAATTGTGCCCGCATCGTTGTCGAATCCCATACTACCCCTAGGAACGTAGTCCTTTGGGTGGGCGCCAGCACACTCTTCTTTGCGTTGAGCCTCAGCCCTAAACGCCACAGTTGAGCCAGAACGACATCTCGATGCCTAAACCACAACTCTTGAGACTGGGCTAGGATGAGCCAGTCGTCGATGTAGTTGAAATCCGGATGCCCTGGAGCCTCAGCGGGGCCAGTGCTGCATCCATACACTTGGTGAATGTGCGAGGGGAAAGTGCCAGGCCGAATGGAAGAACCCGATACTGGTAAGCCACACACCCGAAGGCGAACCTCAGGAACTTCCTGTGAGAAGGACGGATGGAGACGTGGAAATAGGCGTCCTTTAGATCTATCGTGACGAACCAATCTTTGGATTGGATGTGCGTCACGATGGTGGGGATGAAGAGCATCTTAAACCTGAATCTCCCCAGAGACCGGTTAGAACGCGCAGCCCTCCATCCTTCTTGGGGACTATGAAGTACCGGCTGTAGAACCCGGCGTCTCTGTCTGGGGGGGAGACACGTTCCATGGCCCCTTTCCTCAGCAGAGTAAGAACTTTCCCTGTCCCAACACCGGACCTTGCTCCGGGCGGACCACAGTCCAAACCACCCCGTTGAATTTTGGAGGGCGGGTTTTGAACTGTAGTCAAAACCCATCGATGGCAGTGCGCAGGACCCACGGAGAAATGTTCGTCAGGCTCCGCCAAGCCTCTGCAAAGTCTGCCAACGGAACCAGCCCCTCGGGGCTGGTGGTCGGGTGTCTCGTGTGATCTTCTGGTGGACCCCTGAAGCCCCAGAACGGCAGGGGAGAGATCCACGGTGACCCTCGGGGCAGGCAGTATGGCGTGGACTCGATGGTGGCAGGTGCGTCCTGAATCGTCCTCGATCGGCCCCCTGAGCTCCGTCGGGACTGGATGACGGTCCTCAGATCGCGTCTCTCAGAAGGCTGAGGGTGAGAGCGCCGTCTCGCTGCCCCAGCTCCTCGGGGGGACCCCGAGAAGCGACACTCGTACAGGGAAGGGACCTACGCCTGGCAGCCTCAGCTGCCTTGGGTCCAGGAAGAAAGGAGGAAAGAATGGCAGAGACTGGCGTGGAGGTGGTGCTTAAGAAACCTTTCATCAAGCTTACCACTAGCCTGTGGTGTCTGCTTCTCCTGTGGCCAGTTGATGTTGAGCTTAGCCACGGCTCTAGTCACCACCTCCAGCAGTACGTCATAGTCGGGCGCCGCCTGATGACGCCGCCCCGACACCCGGAAGTCATCGTCCACTACGCTGAGCACGTTGCTGCAGCATCTCCGGATCCAAACCGCGAGCGGGAGAAGCCGAGAACGGGCTCCCGAACGGTTGCTCCCAGCGGATGAAGGTCGGGAAAAAGCCTCAGCCGTCCCGAAATCCTCCGACATCGCTGTGAACCCCATGAGTGAAGCCGCTGGGGCGCCTCAGCGGCCGCAGGGCCCACACCACAGGGAGAACACATCCGACCATCCTCGGAAAAGAGAGAGCCATGCTGTACCTCAGTACCCGCACGAAAAGGGCTTCGCAACGGGCGCAAACAGCCCCCTCAAGAGCTGCCCGGGCGTGCTCCATCCCCAAACATGAGACACACATCTCATGAGAATCTCCATCCGTGATGTACCGAGGGCAAGACAAAACACACCTTCTGTACATCTGGTTGCCGGACATGCTGGTAGACTTCTTCTTCAGGTAAGACATACTGCTTGTAGGACTGGAGCTTTCTTCAAACAACATACAGAGCGCCTGCTGAATAGAAAAAAGCTAATGATGAGTGTGTACAGGTGTGCTTTATACTCCTCCGGTTATTCCGTCACACTTTACCGTTCTAGCAACAAGCCAATAGGATTGGAGTGATTTGATTCACGTTCAGACCTGCTACGCCTAGAGGCGTTCCCATAGTTGTCGTAACCGATGCAGTTCGAGTTCCCTCGAAGGGGAACTTGTGCATCATCAGAGAAATTCCCTGATTATCTGTTCTTGTATCTTTAATGGACACTTTTTAAAATGTCTTCTTCAGCAAAACACTTCATGGGTCCAAGTTTTAACTTATTCTGATCCATCCACACAAACACATGAGTGAAAAGATGAAGTCAGATATTTTTAAGTGATTAGTGTTACAAGATCTGTCCAATCAAGTGTTCTTGTGGAAGTGATGATGTCAGAAAATGCCACATGTGGGAAAATCATGTCTGACACACATTTTTATTGTTCAATGCACTCATTTAGCTTATTTACCCACTAGAGGTCATCAGTAGACATGGTGGTGTCCAAAGACACTGAACCAGGATCATTTGCTTGGTCTCCTGTCTTCAGCACTGCTGGACTGTAGGACATTTTGAGTCTTCATGTCTGTGATGTTTATGTGCTTTAGGTGTTCTGTTGGATTTAAAGATAAAAAAATCCTTCTATTTTGGTATTTCTAACATGTGCCTTATGTAAATCCACACACACACACACTTTGTTGTGTTGTATTACATTTTATTGTGAAGCACTTTGTGATTTTTCTGTGAAAGGTGCTATACAAATACACTTTACTTACTTACTACTAACACACACACAGTATACGCCATCTAATGAATGAAAGAAAATGATTAAGCAAATTTCTTACAGGACATAAATATTACCACTCTCCTTCAGTCTTTAGTCCATTGCTTCAGTATCAAAGTGTCCAACTTGTATCTATGGTAACAGGAACCCATGTGGTTTCTGATAAAGGAGGAAACCAAGCTGCACCTCCACTTTGTGTTTGTATGAAATATTGTACATTTAAAATGCTCCACTGTGAAAACTTAACCTCATCTTGAAATGAAATGTTACATGTGTTCACGTTTTTCCTCCAGATGCTCCAAAGCTTCCCTCTGTGTCAGTGAGTCCCTCTGCTGAGATAGTGGAGGGCAGTTCGGTGACTCTGACCTGCAGCAGTGATGCTAACCCAGCAGCTAAATACACCTGGTACAAGGAGAACCAAACACTGATTCAGAGACCAGGAGACATTTATCATTTCACCTCTATCAGCTCTAAGGACAGCGGGATCTACCACTGCAAGGCTGAGAATGAGTATGGCCAGATCAACTCCACATCTGTATCCATAGATGTCCAGTTTAAGTACAAAACATCAGCAAGTCACCTCGACATGCATTGTGTCATCATTGCATGTCGAGGATCATTTCAGATTTTAAATTCTAACTAAATAATTTGTTCCGGAGTCCTTTGCGGGAAAACGCTTGCAGCCGTCAGCCCTGGGCTTGCACTCTGAGTTTGTTTGGTGTCGCTATAGCTCAGCGGAACACACTCCAGGCTCTGTCGTTGGAGCCGTGACTTCGTTCATTCAAGGCAAGAAATGAACGGGCTTCTGAGTTTCTGGTCCAAAGTTGCTCAGAACGATCGGATGATGTTAAAACAACAAAATCAAATAAAACTCATACATTCGCCGTAGGTTCGCGAGGCCCCGGGAATATAGGTTATTTAATGTTGCTGAGATTAAACAAGTCTGGGGAAAGTTTCATCCCAGGCAGCTCCAAACTTAATCAAAACTCCCGCTAAGAAAATTGGGGATTAAAGAGCAGTAGCTTTCTCAGCTCGTCGACACAATATCGACATTTGAAAAATACTCAGTTCTAAACATTCAGATAAAGACAAGCAACACAAGACTAAACACTAGAGGATTAAAGGTTATAATGGTTATATAAAAAAACGTAACAAAGCTTAACTACATGTTCTCAGTGTAAAATTGATCGTTACGGGTTTTAACTCAAGAGACAATTTAGACGTAAGCAAAAATATTTCGTTTATACAATTACATGGTGATAGGTACTTGGCGCTCATTGTCGGTGTAAGCCGAGTTTTAAACACTTGTGTGTTACACCTTTCCTATCCACTTGGTGGAGCTTGGGTCGCACGAGAAAACAGTAGACATTCAACTGTGAGATTTTCCACTTTAACCGGGAAGCTGGTTATGCACACCGGCGTGTGGGTGAATGTTTTAGTAGGAAATTGGCTTATCACATTTGCCCATCGGCTACAGAGAGAAGGGAGTGGTGGTTTATGCCTCAGCTGTTCTATGGGAAAAAGAGTCAGGTTGGGGCCGGACGGGTGGTTCTTTTGATGTCCGGAGGTGACCTGCGGAGAGAGAGGGGTCGGACAGCCCCTTTTGCTGACCTACTAAATGTCTCTAGTGACACCTTTACGGCTAGAGAGGTTCACTAAGGCTCTTTGAATACACAATCCTTAAGCGATGCATTGTCTGCTGATCCCTAACAAACACCAGGCGATGTCTCTGGTTTTTTCATGTAAAAAGGTCAACTCTAGGGGAAGAAAACTTCCCCCCTCTTTTGGCACCATCTGACCTCACCTGCCTTTTTGAGTGAGTCTGGTTGATTCCACAACATTATACTTTCTCTCAAATTTAGCACATTACAACAAAAATTCTCATTCTCTCATGTAGGCTACTCTAAAAAGCATCTATGCAACCAATGGTCCCAAATGTTTATTTCAGTGGGTACCGTTCTAGGCAAAGATCAAACCCTGAAACCACTAAAGACAAGCATACCACAGTCTTGAGCCAAACTAAACCCTTTTCTGTAAACCCTTATTTATTTATTTTTTGTCCAGTTTAATTTAGCACAAATCAAAAAGTTATTTCTGCTTGCCTGCAGATCTCTTCTAGATTAACAACTTTGAACTATCCATCCCTAAGGTTCCCACACACACCGAGCACACATCCCAAAACCACACTTCACCAATATTTACATATAAAGAGGACAAACACCAAAAAAATAACAAGATAACAGTAAAACCATTTACACAAAATACTTTTTTCTTATACAGAAAACACTTTATCTTTATGAAACATTAATCACAAAACTTTCTCATCTCCTTTTGTTATTTTCTTCATTTTAAAAACAGCTCCACTGCTATTTTAATTTACGCATTTTGTTGGCAGTCAATTCAAAGAACCCCTCTTTTACCGAGGGATTGAACTTGCAGAGAACTAAACCTATAGGCTGCACTTCCTCCACCGAGGGAAAACTACCCCTTTTCACCGGGGCAAACCTTCTCTTCAACGAGCGAAAACTGTACACCCCATTACCAGGGCAAAGCTGTCAATGCCACAACAATCACACATTAACTCTGGTAACTTTCCCGACTATGGTCACGTATTTACGTCAGTTAACCCGTTAATTTTTCTCATACACACATCAAGCTAATTAATTCTCACAACAGGCACACATTAACTCTAAACCTCCTTCGGGAGCATTTATGCACTTTCAAACTCTTACGCACACACACACGCATCCTTCACAGTCTGTTCGTGGCAGAACGCCCCAACTCGACGACTTGCAGGATTCGGCCAGTTGTTAATCAGATCCTGTTCGTGACACCAAATTATGTGGGGTATTTATGTGATATTATGTGATATAACTTACTGATAAATCAAGTTGTTATATAATTGTGCTTTTTGTACTGGCTGCACGCCTGGAAATTCCTGACTGACCAATTTCCTGGAAATACATGCAACATGCAACCTGTACATCTAATAGAAAGCTGGTGTAATGAATTTGATTTATCATCATCTACAGACTGATGACATTAGTTAAATAAGCAAGGATACTGTAAGCATTGTAAGATTTTAGTTCACTGAAGCAGGCGCATGTGCTGTACTGGATTTTCTTTTGGACCTGGAAAAAAGTTGACCACCCAGTTGTCACTGTATAATCCACACCCTGAACTCACCTGATTCGGACGATCCATTCAAAACAGGGTAACTTTAAGTTCCAGGCAGACATCAAGTGTCTCAGGGGACCAGCTTGCGATCCGAGGGCCTCGCTTGCCAGGATCTCCAGTTCTCCAACGACATTTCGCCGACTCCCTGCAGCTCTCAGGCCTCTTCCCCTCAGTCATTGAGGTCAGGAAATCGAGGACGTCGCGGGAGTCGTCACCTACCCTCTACCTACCCTCTCTTCCTCCGGTACAAACACCGGGTGGATTATATTTTAAACTCTAAAACACTGTTGGGATGTGATGGTAATTATATTATTTCAAACAATATCTTCTTTTTTTTCAGAACCAGAGGTCAGGAACCTGGAGAGGATCCAGCTACATTGTACAGCACAGTCAACAAAACCTAACGACTAAAACAGATATTGCATTTATGATAATTCTGTTTCTTTTTTTAGTTCTTTCTTTTAGTTAATATTTTTCTTGGGATATGCCTCTCCAAGACTTTACAAATGAATTATATGCCCTAGAGAAACTTACTTTGTTTTTAGAATATGTAAAGTATTTGACTGCATTCACCTGTAAATATAATTTGTCTGACTTTTTGTAACATTTAGTCTTTTCATGTAACTTTTTTTTTTGAAAATAGGTCTTATACTATCAATAAGACTGCATCATGTTACTTTTTTCCACACTGATGCAGCACAACAATTTGAACCCATGGTGTGCATCCAAGCGATGCATCAAACTGTTTCCTTCTGTTCCTGTTTAGTTTAGCATCACTGACAGACCCTAAACTATGACCACATTTACGATAAGATTTCCTTAGATAGTCTTTGTTGTTTGTTGGATGTTCTGAAGTGCCTCAAAACTAGTTTGTTACACTCTCTTAAATAGATAGACAGAAAGTTCATAGTTTGCAAAAACAACAAAGCAAGTTACTTTTTAGTGTGAACTTAAGTCTACTTGTATATTTGGTTCATTATTCATGTAAATGATGTAAAGAGGAAGGAAGTTGGGAGGATTTTACAGAGTAACGTTGTCTTATCAAGATAACTTCCTTTCATGTTAGGTAGAAGTGTTTTTGATGTGAATGATTTACTTCTGTGGACATTATTTAGCTGCAGACATCTTTTAATGTCTCTGAAGTCACACAGCGAGACGCGAGGAGCAGATATGAGGTTAACAGCAGCAGCGAGAGGATTTGTCGTCCTTCTCCTGACTGTACCAGGTGCTGTATATCTACATTTATGTATTTACATTTAGTCAGATCAACCTGAAGTGAGTATAAGAAAGAACATTTAATTAAATTATTCATTCTAAGATCTCTATATTCCTATATTTGACCTGTTTTATGCAGTGTGATAATTTAAAACACCTTAAAACTCTGACTGCAACACCAACATTAACTTTTGGACTCAGTGCTTCTACTTGGATGTTAAATGTCTGTATCTGGTTTGGTAGCACATAGTGGTTTGTGGATTTAATTGGATTTTTCACATATAATCTGTGTGTGTGTTGTGTACGGATAAGGCAAATCAATTTTTAGATGCATTGTGATATACCCTTGAATTACTCAGAATTATTAAATATGTGATAAAGGAAAATACACTAAAATACTAATTTATGATGCAATTTATAAAGATTTACTCAGGTGGTCTCCATGTTTACCATTTAAATGTTGACTGTTTACTGGGAGTCTCACTTAAAACACTATTTCTATGTATTTATTCACAATTGTATTAATTACCTTATTTATTGTCCTTTATGATCTTCAACTTTATTAATTGTTTTTCAAATGTATTTTTTAATTTTAATATTTTTGTTAATATGTTTATTATTCTTCCTTTGCATTTTCTACCCTCTTTATTATGGTATTTATTTTGTCTCCTCTTTACATTTAACTATGCATTTCTGCCTCATTACACACATTAAATAATTTTGATTTGATAATCTGTCAAAATTTTCTGTAGTCCATGGCCAGTTTCAGAAAGGAGGATTACTGAGAAGTATGTTAAGCCTTAGATGAGGGAAACTCTGCGTTATCAGTTTAAGAGACTGACATCAGAAAAAAAACGAGATCAGTAACTCCAGCAATTTATGCTGTAAAGCTCAGCTGCTCGGGAGAAGGTTTTCTTCAACAAATGCTGAGTTTCTCTCTGACTCTTCCCCTCCTGCGGAGCCTGAAGCAGCGGTCTGACGCAGCGTTTCATTTCCTCATTCATACTGTCGATACCAAAGCACAAACTGAACACATTCATTTGCAGAAGTTTTTGCAAACATCAAAGTCCCAGTTAGATATAGGTTCCGTACCCAAACATGATCTTCAACATGATCAATCTGTCATCAATGTAAGGACTGAGACAGCGACATTGTGGATTCA